TTGAGCTATAGGCACCGAGCCGAACACAATGTTTTAAACATGAAAACTACAGACAGTATTCTTTAGTGTGAATAAAAAGATTTCTTACAAAAGGATCTGCTGGTTTTTGCTTACAAAGCTCTGTGAGTCCTCCAAGCAGAGTTGGTGTTACGTATAAATTTAAATAGTCCTTAGCAGACTGTCCAATTGGAATCGGCTCAATAATCACTGCAAATATAAATGTATTCTTATTAAAACAAACATAAATGATTAAATATTATATAGTCACTAATATATTCTTTTGTTATTGTTGTAGTTGAGATAGTCTTACCCTATGCCCTGAGCAGAGTGCAGTGGCGTCATAGCTCACTGCAACCTGACTCATGCTGTGGGCATCCCACTGCCTCAGCCTCCAAAGCCGAAGCTGCTGTGTTTGCCACAGCAACCCACTGGGTTTTTTTTTGTTTGTTTTAAGAGTCAGGGTCTTGGGTGGCGCCTATGGCTGAGTAGGGCACTGGCCCCATATACCGATGGTGGCAGGTTCAAACCCAGCCCAGGCCAAACTGCAAAAAAAAAAAAAAAAAAAAGCCAGGCATTGTGGCGGGTGCCTATCTATACTCCCAGCTACTTGGGAGGCTGAGGCGATAAGGCAAGAGAATTGCCTAAGCCCAAGAGATGGAGGTTACTATGAGCTATGATACCACAGCACTCTACCAAGGGCAACAAAGTGAAACTCTTGTCTCAAAACAAACAAACAAACAAACAAAAGACTTAGGACCTAACGCCTGGGCTTAGGTGATTCTTTTGCCTCAGCCTCCCAAGTAGCTGGAACTACAGGTACCCACCAAAAAAAGAAATTTCAGGGCAGCACCTGTGGCTCAGTGAGTAGGGCACCAGTTCCATATACCAAGGGTAGTGGATTCAAACCCTGTGCTGGCCAAACTGCAACAAAAAATAGCTGGGTGTTATGGTGGGCACCTGTAGTCCCAGCTACTTGGGAGGCTGAGGCAAGAGAATCGCCTAAGCCCAAG